GTTACTGTGACAAGACGGGAGCGGTCGGGTCGGCTACGGAAAGACTTTACCTACTTGTTTTTGGAGGCATTGTTGGAAGAGAAGGGTGTTATCAGAGTAGGGAGCTGTGGGAGGGATCACGAAAAATCGGTCCCATTTGGCTGCACTAAAGAGAGTATTCAAGATTGTTTTAGAGATAGGGGTGGTAGAAGGGCGGGGGCGTGACGAAGATGGAGTAGTGTTGAGGGAGGTAGTGTTATGGAGAGGTGGGCTATAAGGCTGTAAGGTATTAATAAGGGAGGATGGGGTGGTTGATGTTGGAGGTTGTGGGGGTAGAGGTGTTGAAGTTGAGCATGCTGGGAGAGTGGAAATGTTCCTTGAGGGTTGATTGTTGGCTACTGTACTAGTAGGCATTGGTGAAGGGGTAGTTATTGCAGTGTTCGGAGCCGTGGTCAAAGGAGAGCCTGGGGTCGGGGAATCGGGTGGGTTTACTTCAGTTGGGGCTATTTGATAAAGGGGCAAGCCTCATTGCCCCTAACAGTGGGGATATATTTTCATTACTGGCCATGGTAAGCCTGGATTATGTTGGGGATAAAAACAGTCCACCCCTCAGGGTCCCCTTGAGGGGTAAGGGCTAGATAACTAAAATCTGGGGAATACCGTGCCCATGGCTCCCTCAGGCCATTCAGGACTGGCACAAAGTCAGCCTTTCATCCTTTCAGCACGGCTCTCACACCTTAGGAGGTGGATAGCAGAAGGGTTTGGTGAAGGGACAGAAACAAAAGTGGGAAGGGAAAAAAAGACCATGCATAATTAGTCGAGTCAAGGGCTGAGTCCCAAGGTTGGGGAGTTCCCCATCATTGGGTCCCAGTCTCCGCCTCCTAAGCCTCCCCACGACAACAATGGGCAAGGGATTGGGGGGGTCTATGTGTAAAAACAATCAAACAAGTCGACTCAAAGTGGGCATGGCATGTACGTACATGCCATCCCCGGTGGCAATGGGTTAAATATGATGCCTTTTTTAAATTACATTAGAATAAAATTTTATATTAGTGAGACAAACTATTAGTTTCATTTTCTTTTGACTGTGATCCAATACTTCGTGATCCAATACTTCATGAATTAGATTTTCTTTTGCAGCATTTTGTAATAATTGTTTACATGGAAAATAGGACATAAAGCTTAAAACTTAACTGATTATTTATAGATTACAGAACTTGTTTATTCCTTGTGTAACGTGCACGCACGCACGCACACACACACACACACACACACACACACACACACACACACACACACACACACACACACACACACACACACACACACACACACACACACACAAATATATACATGTACATGTCTCCTAAGCCCCCCACGAGAACAAGAAGCAAGGGTAACCATTACACTGGGAAGTGCACTTGCCCGCTTACAAACTGGACTCACTCACCTCACACATTCCATCTCATGTCACAATCTGATGCACCTCTATGCTCCTTATGCAATCTTCCTCTTTCAGTTCCACACATCCTGTTATCCTGACCCTGTTTTACAGTAATCTGTAACTCGGATTTTCCTCCCTCACCCTAACCTCCTGGATCCCCTACCCTATTGGACATCCTCCCAGAATTCCCTATTTCTTCCTTAGATAGCTAATTCTCTTTCCTCATATGAGCCAATTGCACCACTCCCTTAACTCCTTCCCCAGATGCCCTTCCTGACACCAACCCTCTCTATTTACCCGGGCTTGGGACTAGCACTGCCTTGGGCTAGCTTGCCCGCCCAGTGGCTAGGTTCTTAATTCCATCTACTGATTCCTGTATTCCTCCTCCAGGTGCAGTATCCACTTTGCTCACTCTGCTACCTAACCAGATTCATCCAGCCCTCATAAATTCCTTCACACATGAAATCCATGTTCTGACATTCTCTCTCACTTCCTTTATTTTGGGGTTAGCCTAATTTGGCTGGCCTGCTTCAGTCTACTGAAAACTGAAACTTCCCAATGATACTTTTGTAATGATTTTCTAACTGTCATTCAACCATACTTCCTGGGAACAAAGTGAAATGTGTTTGTATCTCTTTATTAAGAAAACTACACTTACAGTGGGAAAATTAAAACATTTCATATCACAGATTGAACAACAATGTAACATTCAAAACTATGTACTAGATGTTTTAAGCAGTACCTTAATTAACTAGGTCATTCATCTTTCAATGCAGAAGCATACCTTCACATGGTCTAGCCCTTCACTGACCAACATAAACAGAAATAAGGTTTCCATACTATGTTAGGGCTGTCTCGAGCAATGCGAATGCTAAAGTGTTTGAATGTTTTATTTCATTTTTCTTCAGTAAATTTTTAAAAATACTTATGATTTCACATATTGCAAAATTATCCACATACTAAATTACTACATACCATAAAATTTTGTGTGTGTGCGTGTGTGTGTGCGTGGGTGTGTGCGTGTGTGTGCGTGTGCGTGTGTGCATGTGTGTGTGTGTGCGTGTACTTTATAAATAAACATTCTATTTAATGTTGTATGCTATGCTTCATTATACACAAGAAAAAAAGCTATACAGCCTTACAGAGCAGCAAATTATAAGAATTTTAATGCTAAAAGCCTGTTCTATTACAATGTCACATACCCAAAGGAGGGAGGGGAGGGAGGGAGGGAGGGAGGGAGGGAGGGAGGGAGGGAGGGAGGGAGGGAGGGAGGGAGGGAGGGAGGGAGGGAAAGAAAAGAAAAGAAAAGAAAAAGAAAAGAAAAGAAAAGAAAGAAAAAAAAAAAGAAAGAAAGAAAGCAAGGAATGAGGATGTGAGTGAGAGAGAGAGAGAGAGAGAGAGAGAGAGAGGAGAGAGAGAGAGAGAGAGAGAGAGAGAGAGAGAGAGAGAGAGAGAGAGAGAGAGAGAGAGAGAGAAGGACTGAGGATGAGAGAGAGAGAGAGAGAGAGAGAGAGAGAGAGAGAGAGAGAGAGAAGAGAGAGAGAGAGAGAGAGAGAGAGAGAGAGAGAGAGAGAGAGAGAGAGAGAGGGAGAGGGAGTAAATGAGAGCATGACAGAGTAACAGAGTGAGTGAGAGCAACTGGATGCGTGTGGGAGTGGGAGTGGGTATGCATTCAATCTTACATTTTAAATCTTCATACCCTCCTTTCTCCCTTGATTTGGTGAAAAACAATCTATCAACAATTATCATCAATATCCATACATTCCAATTATTTCCCCCATCACCTTCCCTTTCATCTTTAGAGCAAAATTATGAAGAAGAAAAAATATTCAACACAAACAGCCATTAACATTACCTTCAGAAGTCATTTTTACTTACTATTACATACCTAACATTTACATGTGCTGAAGAATGGATTTTCAGGCCACCCAAGATGTATGCTTTGTTTCTATACAGCTGGAAGTATTTTGGTAAGGTCACATGAAACATTTTACAGCTTGATAAAAAAAATAATAATAAATTGGAAAAAAAAAAAAAAAAAGTAAAGTCATTCACTTCAAGAAATGACATGTAGTGTAAGTCCTTAGTCAATACATCACTTAACTAACTGGATTGACATATCTTGATACATTGCTTCACCAAGATTCACTTATCAGAGCACTTGCTGTAATGTATCTTCATATATACTTCTAATTAAACTCAGGACAGTTTGAATCGGAAGTTCGCCTTTATTCATGTTTCAATGGAACTGACAAACAAAATTCAATGAATAAAGATGTGGCTAACACTTCAAAAGTTTACAGGTTGATGTATCATGTTTTTGCACATAAATTATATATCTTAACTTTCAGTATCAACACTCCTTTATTCAGCGTTTAGAAATATAATTTAGTAAATATATACACCATCTCCACTTTTCTTAAGTAAACAAAATGGTAATGTTCATAATGCATGTTACTGAAACACAAAAATCTTAGTAACATAAATATCAGGAATTAAGGATAAATACTTGAGCTTTTGTAACACAGACCATTGTAAATCACCGATACTGGAGCTGAGATTTAAAATATTCCTCCAACATCTCAAATATATTTCTCAAAAAAAAAAAAAAAAAAAAAAAAAAAGTCAAACTTTCATTGAAGAAGAAGAAGAAGAAGAAGAAGAAGAAGAAGAAGAAGAAGAAGAAGAAGAAGAAGAAGAAGAAGAAGAAGAAGAAGAAGAAGAAGAAGAAACATTGACAACATCAGACTTTCCAAAGTTAAACCTGAAGCATCAGATTTTTGGCTTTATAAAACCATATTATAAATAATAATAACTACCAAAATGCAGAATCTATCCATAAGTTGCATGACCAGAAATACGTTGAAAAAATGACAGTAACAGAATTTACAAGAACGCTTCCTCCTTCCAAGACAATACATTCACACATCTTTGCTACAAAGTCTTTTCCCCTTTTTCGTTACTCTTATCCGACCACATTACTACTTATAAAAACGCAAACCAATAACTTTACTCTTTCCCTGATGTTTTGATACTACAAAGCTGCTCGTAAAGAGGGTTTAATAACACTGGGAAAGACTGTCTCTTCAGTGGATTACCCATTGACTCTCCTCCTTTGACTCTTGGGAAAAAAGTCCCATGGATAAGATCTTGTTAATAACTAAGCTTCCATCAGTTTTATATTATATACATTAGATGACATGATTTGTATCCCTGCAAAATTTTTATTTAATGATATCATTTTCACCCAAAAAATATTTTACTTTCACAGACCTATGCATATTGATATTTGTTTGAGAGTACTCTGTGACAATAAGAATCTGTTTCATAATGTTAACACAATAATTATTTTCATTACAAATTTACCTAATCATCAATTTTCCAGAAACATTAAATGATATTTATAAGAGGCAGACTTTTATCTACATCTATATCACTCACTCTTTAATAAAAAAAAAAAAAAAAAAAAAAAAAATATATATATATATATATATATATATATATATATATATATATATATATATATATATATATATATATATATATATATATATATATATATATATATGGTCTCCTCTTGAAGACAAAGCCAAAACCCCTTCATTTTATATTACTTCACAGGACATGAACTAAACCAAATCCTAATTCACCAACAGAACATTTATAAAGGTAATAAGTAAACCCAAGAGACAATAAGTACAAAACTTCTTCAGAAAGTATTAATAGGCTTTATTTTAGCACCTGTATAATATTAAAAGAAAAAATTGAAATACTACATCTTTTAAGTATTCCATCTAAGTTATAATTTTCAATAAAGAAAAACCAAGTTCAGCCTATCTAAATGACCTTTAAATATGCTTTCTATGGAACCTACAGGCAGACAGTTTTACATTATAAGAGTTAAAAAAAAAAAAAAAAAAAAAAAATGCATCTAGAAGATAAACAAATTTTAGGATTTCTTTGTTTTATCATTGCAAGTTTAAGCATCTCCCTCTACATATTCCTGAAGAAATTATAATATTTTTGTTATCTGAACATTTAACGAATTTAGTAAGAAAATTGTAGACACAAATACTTTACAAATACATCCACATAATAATAGAAAAAATATATCTAAAAAAAGGAATAATAACCTCCAGGAAACACTCATTAGTCCATGCTACATTTTGTACAGTTCATATAATTACATACACTCACTGCTCTTCTCCCATTCCCTACACATCATGGAAACCGATCTTGGTGCTGCAACACTAAGCAATGCAGGACATTAATGCACAGACCCAGCAGGAGAATCCACAGCGGCAACAGAACGTGGTAAGATGTAATTCTCGTCGTCTCGTGATTCTGCTTTAGGCACAGGGCCACCATGAATGCCATTTTGAGAATGACAGCCAGCAGGGGCCAGACCCGTTTCAGGATGGCTGAGAGACGCTGCCTGGCCGTGCGGTGGTGAGAGCCCCCTGATACTCCAACAGCCGTGCGGCATTCATTGATCATGTGGATGCTGATGTATATGAGAAGAAGTGCATCATAGAACCACATAGGGATAAAGACAATGAACCAATTCCATTGGGTTCTGAGGTCAAGCCGGAGTGCAAGCAAGATGAGAAAGACCAGGAGGAGGAACCAGGTGAATAATGCACGGTGTAGCATTGCCATGGCTGAGGTAATTCCGTGTCCACCTGGATCGCTGTCACACCGATGAGACTCTTCTCCTCTTGGTCTTTTACAAATGATGGTAGAAATCTCCTTAACGGTGCTCTATCTCTTTGCCACCTTGAAAACGAACCACTTTCTTAAACTGGAGAACACAATGCTACTCTCATATCCCACCAAATGCACAACATTCCATCCTATGACATGGATAAGGAGTAGGGATCCTCAGACCTTTTTTCTTTTTCATACTTTAGCTGTGTCTTCTTGTTCAGGCCCTCCTTTTCCGTGTTAAGATGATACTGCTACTATGTTTGTCGTCCCTTTTGTCCCACGAGCAATGGCCTGTACGGGTGTAGCGTGCCGGTCCAACGTTTACAATCTGTAACAAAAAGTATGTGTGTAATTTTTGTTAGAGCTATAAGATTTTTTGTGTATGTGCATGTATACGTATGTATGTGTGTTTAAATGTATATGTGTATGTGCACGTGTGTGTGTGGTATAGTGATATGGATACAGTGGCCAAGGAGATCAACCACAATTATGTCAGCACTCGATGGAGGATCCTTCAGAATTGCAGGGTTTACCGGAGTGCTGAGGTCTGTGGTAGTGACCGTAGGCTGGTAGTGGCAACCCATGGGGGGGGGGGGGGGGGGTTGCATGTGTAGGTAATTATTCATGGTATTTTAAATCACTTGCCATTGCATATATGGCTCTTGTCATTACTATTCATAATCATTCTACTAGTTCCTAATCTATCAACATTACTGGCAAAAAACCTTGAGACCTCATCCCAATTAAGCCTCAAAAGTAATGTCTCCATACAACTTGTGATGTGTGCTTATGCAATGGCCGCCCGGTTACGTTTGGCAGAGAAGCAGTAAACCTAATGCTGGGCAGTGACACCCAGATAACACAGCACCATTCCCTCTCTGATGCTCAAAGGCTGTGGTAACTGCCCGCTTCTCTACCCACATTCACATCATTTCTAGCAAACAGCAACAGTTGTCACAGAATTAACTAGAATGCCCAATAGTTATATGAGTAAGGCAGAGGAGGTTTGTGTTCTCACACTGATGGAACAGAATGTGTCAATCAAAGAAATCTCCAGCGAGTTGGGCCCTCTGAGGCAACCATTTGTCGCCTGTTGGCTACTGCTTGTAGCCAGCCTACTGATGTCATTCCCACACACAGACACATTCCTGGTTGCCCCAGAAAACATCTTCATGTACTGATCAGCTAATTAAGAAAGGCGATGAAGCACCCCACATTAACATCTACACAGATCAAACAAAACCCTCTTATGCTTCTCAAAAGCATCTCTAATCAGACCATGCACCACAGGCTGCAGAAGGACCTTCACATGCCATCTCGTTGCGCTGCCCCAAAAACTGTAATGACCAAGCAGATGCAGCAGAAACGTTTGACTTTGCCCATAAATATAAAGACTGGGCACCTGAGATATGTAAATGGGTCATATTTAGTGATGAATCTACACCCAGATGCATCAGAAGCAAACAGGGTAAGATAAGGCGGCCACCAGGAGCTGACAGGTGCAATCCCCACTACACCATAAAGACAGTTAAACACCCTGATTTAGTCATGGTCTGGGCCTCCTTCAGTGGTGTAAAGGGATGTAGGGGACTGTAGTTCCTTCCACTCAACTACCATGAACTCGGACCGCTACATCATGTGCCAAAAGAGAAATTGCTTCCACATTATGAGATCCACGAGAGCATTTTTCCCCTTCAAGGCTCTGTCCCCTGTCACCAGTCAAAGAAGACCAGGAAGTGGTTCACTGACCATGGAATATCACCTCTGGACTGGCCAGGTAACTCGCCTGGCCTCAATCGAAAAGAAAACGCCTGGGCAAAGAGGTAGTATGACCTTGAACAAAAAGGACTCATCATCAGTGAAGGAAGCTCTGTAGAATTTCAAAAATCTAGCTAGAAGCATGCCTGCTAGAGCCCAAAAGGTCATCAAAGCCAGTGGACACATGATAAAATATTGAAATTTAAAAAATAATAATTTTGAAATTTGTTTTACAGAACAATAATTACAATGTGTTACCAGGAATTAGCTAGGTCTCAAGGTTTTTTGCTGATACTGTATATACAGTATGCGTTCCAAAAATCATAATTGTTTCAGTCTCAAGCACATGTAAAAGTGTATATGCAGATGTTGAAAGGAAATTGTACAAAGGCTAAGCAAAAACAGTAAATACCTGTAACGCAGGACAGTGGCTCATGAGAAGTGTGAGGTCTTGCCGAGTGAGCCAGGCACCACAACCCTCAAGAACCACCTCCTCCAAGACAGGTAGGTGCTTCTCGAGTCGGAAAAATGGCGATGTCACCACCACCATGCGGTTCTGAAAGTGAGTGCTGTATCAGTGAACAAAAGTATAACATTTCTTATAGCCTTAGTGTATACTGATAAATAGTCTTAAATGCAAAGGAGGAGAAAAGTTGCATTAAAACTACGGTCAACTGTCCCGCTTTATATATTGATCCATGTCTTCAAATTAGTACAAGAAAACACTTTGCTAATGTATAAAAAAATTATAGAATATGAAACTCATACATTTTATTAATTAACCCTATCACTCCAAGATGGGTGAGGCTGCTCTCAGTTAAAGCACACTAAACATATGTTCAATTGTTTGGCCTTCAAAAGTAGGCTTAAAGCCTCTTTTTAGCCTTAATATCTAAACACTCATTAATGGTATAGCCAAGATAGTAGTGTAGAGAAAATGAATGTTTCCCATGCTTCTAATTTTTCTTTCTAACACACACCAGCTTGTAGACACTTTTGACACACAAACATATCAGCACTGTTTCCTCTAAGTCTTAAAGATATACAACATATCAGCAATGTTTCATGTATGTCTCTAAGATAAAGAAGTTATCAAACTATGCTGTGAATAAAGCTTTAACTTACAATACTTGGACTAAAAACAATTTTCATTACATTCAGGAGCAGATAGTACCACTCACCTGTGGTAGATTGAAGAGTGCTGAACCACAGAGGGATAACTTCCTTAGAGAGGCAGGCAGAGCTGAAAACTTGGTAGTTGATGCATCAATATAACATCGATGGAGGTTGAGCTCCTGGAGATGTGGACAACGGCGCTTCAAGCTTGTCAAAAATGCTTCAGAGATGCAACGTGACCCTTGAAAAAATCATCAAGGGTGTCAATAATGATTCCGCCCTCTGTATCAACTCACCTACTATCATAGAGGAGAGTCATGTGCCGCTCCATAATGCAGGTGTGATATGAATTACAGGAAAGCCTGTGCGGATACTCAAGCTCTATTTCTTATCCCTCACCTTTCGCGAGCCAGTAATCCTCAGTGCCTAAGAAACAATTAGTTTGTGGAGTGAAGCGAGTAAAAATTTAATACAAATTTGCAACCCTGACTCCTCATTGGCGCCTATGGTCCCCTATAAACTCAACTCCAGCTAAGATTTTTACCATAAGGCCACACCTTTTTTTTTTGTTTTATTTTGTTTTTGTATGGTGGATAGAACTGCAGAATATTTTATGTAGGAGGTGAGAAAGCCAAAAATAAAATGAAACTGGTCCGTATAACTTAATATATAACTGTGACTGATGTACTATACCACCAAACCTATTGGGTAAGATTAATAAACACAGCACAATTAATACTGCAAACTAAGTAGTAGTAGTAGTAAAAAAATAAAAGAATATGTAGGATTATAGAATGAATCTAAATATGAATTTAATCTAACATTCAATATGGACGTCAACCTTTCTGAAATCTACTTTAAAGTTATATTTCCAAAACAGTATATATCCCTCTTAACGAGGAAAAAAACAAAAAGCGTCTCCTACCTTAGGACGCAAGCGTATGCTAGCTCGAGACAAAAACCAGTGACTGTGATAGAGAGCGTATGTGAGCCCAGGAAAACGGATGAATTGTGGAGAAACTGGAGGACTGAGGGGGAGCACGGGCCAAAGTCAATGTGGCGCCACAGAGACAAGTCATCACAAGCCTTGCAATCTTGGATGAACACTGAAAAATGGGAAGTTGAATTACAAAAAGCATTCCAATTGTGTGTGTGTAATATATATGTAAATAAATAAATAAAATAAATAAATAAATATATATATATATATAATATATATATATATATAACAATATATATATATATATATCTATATATCTATATATATATATATTATATATATATATGCACTATATTTAGATATATATTTACATATACACACACACACACCACCACACACATATGTGTGTGTGTGTGTGTTGTGTGTGTGTGAGTGTGTTGTGTGGGTGTGTGAGTGTGTGTGTGTGTGTGTGTGTGTGTGTGGCGTGTGTGTGTGTGTGTGTGTGTGTGTGTTGTGTGTGTGTGTGTGTGTGTGGTGTGTTGTGTCGTGTGGGTGTGTGTGGGTGTGTTGTGTGTGTGTAATGAGTGTGTGTGTTGTGTGTGTGTGTGGTTGTATTTAGTTATGTGCTGGTTTATTGTGTGGGGGGGTTATATATGGGTGTGGGTGTTATATATGTCGTGTACTTGTCGTGTATGTTTTTATGTTGTGGGTTGATTTATCATGTGTGTGTGTTGTATTTTGTTGTGATTGTTTGTGTTGTTATATTGGTGTGCTGTTGGTGTTTTTTAGTTGGGTGTGTGTTGTATTGTTGTGTGTGGGGGGTTTGTTGGGGGGGGGGGGATTGTGGTGGGTGGGGTTTGTGTTGGGTGTGGTGTTGTTATTTGTGGGGGGGGTGTGTGTGTGGGGGGCTGGGGTGTGGTGGACCTCCCCCGGGCCCACCCCGGGCGGGGGTCGTCGTGTGGGGGGCGGGGGGGGGGAGGGGGTGTGCTGGTGGGGGGGGGGACGTGTGTGTGGGGGGGAGGGGGCGTGGTGTGTGGGTAGCCGGGGGCGGGTTGTGTGTCGGCCAAGGACCGGGCCACCAGGGGGTGTGTGTGTGGGGGGGGAAGGTGTGTGTGGGCGGGAGTGGGGGTGTGCTATAGTGTGTCCCCGTAAGTGGGGGGGTCGGGGGTGTGTGTGTGATCCGTGTGTGTCGTCGTGTCGTGTAGTGTGTGATGGAGCGGGGGGGGCTCCCCCCCCCAGGGGTCCACCCGGGGGGGAGTCCCATCACGGGCCGGTGGGGGGGGGGGGGATCGGGCGGCGGGGGGGGTGGGGGGGGGGGGTGTGGTGGCGGTGGGTGTGTGTGGGGGCGGGGGGCCGTAGTGTGTGGGGGAGTAGGGGGTGTGTGGGGGGCCCCCGCCCCACGGGGGGGTGGGTGTGTGGCGGGGGGGGGTGTCGTGGTGTTGGGGCGAGTTGGGGGGGTCGTGTGTGGGGGTGTTGGGGGGCGTGTGTGGGGCCCCGAACCACCGCGGGGGGGGTGTGTGAGGCGGCGCCGGCGGGGTGTGTGGGGGGGGGGGGGTGGGGTGGGCGGGCCGGGGGGTGAGTGGGGCACGGGGGGGGAGGTGTGCGTGGGGGTGCGGCCGGCGATGGTGTGGGCGCGGCGGCGGGTGTGTGTGGGGGGGGACCGGGTGCCGAGTTGGGCCGGGATCGGGGGGGTAGCTGTGTGGGGGCGGGGGTGTGGGACGTGTAGGTGCTGGGTGTGTGTGAGGGTTGCTGGAGGGGGTGTGGAGTAGTGTGTGTCGTGGTTTGTCCGACAGTGGTGTGTAACCGCGTGGGTGTGTATGTCGCCTGTGTGTGTCCGTCGGGTGTGTGCTGGGTCGTGTCGTGTGGGTCGTGTCCCGTCGTTGTGTGTAGTGTAGGGGGCGTGTGATGTGTCCGTGTGGGTGTGGGGGAAAATTAGGTCTGATTATTGTGTGGGTGTTGTGTAGGGAGTCGCCTGTGAGTGGTGTCGTGCGCGGTGGGCTGTGTCTGGGCGCGTGTGGTGGGTGTAGTGTCCGTGTCGTGTGTGCCCCAAGTCGTAGTGGGGAAAATTGGTTGTTTAGGGTGTCGGCGTGTGTGTCGTGGCGTGTCGTCCGTAGGGTGGGCGGGTGTCGGGATGTGGCGTGTGGTAGTGTGTGGCCGCTGTCGTGTTGTGTGTGCTCGTGTGGCGTTTTGGGTGTCGGGTGTGTGTGTATAGATGAGTGTAATTGGTTATCGTATGTTGTGTTAGGTATTGGTATAGTACTGTGTGGAGGTATTGTATGTATGTCATGGGTGGGATGTAGTGGGTCGATCGTGTGTCGCTGTGTGTGTGTCGTGTGTCGTGTGTGGGTCGTGTGTGTGTAGTGTGTGGGGGGGGGTGGGTCGGGTGGGTGTGTGGGGCTGGGCTGGGGTCCGTGTGGTGTGAAGTGTCACGATCGTAGTGTGCATGTTGGTGTGTGTGTGGCCGGCGTGTGTCGAGTCGGGCTGTGGTGTGGAGTGCCCGGTGTGAGGGTGGCGTGTTGGTGTATGTGTCTGTGTATGTGGTGGGCGAGGTTGGGGGGGTCAATCGGGCGTGGGTCGTGTGTGTGTGTCGTGGTGCTCGTGTGGCCGCTGTTGTTCAGTTGCTGCTGGAGTGTGCTGTGTGTTTTGGTGTGTCGTGTGTGTGTGTGTGTGTGTGATGGTGGGTGTGTAAGTTCGTCGTTGTGTCGGAGATGTCGTGTGTAAGGTATGTCGCTCGTGTGGAGGTCGTGAAGTCGTTGTAGGTGTATGTTGCTGTGTGAGAGTGTTGAGTGTGTGTGTGTGTATGTTGTGTATGGATGTATTGATGCTGTGTGTACTGGATTGTATATGGATGGTGTGTGTATGAGCGTCGAGCCATCTCCGGCACCCTCCCCATCCGTCATCGGGCCCCCACCCGTGGCCCCCGCCCCTGCTTGGGTTTCTGTAGGTGTGGCTATCGGTGTGGTGTTGTGTCTGTGTGGCTCGTCGTGCTGGTGTGGGCCGTAAGGTGTGGTGTGGCGAGTTGTGTTCTTGTGTATACTGTGTGCGTGTGTGTCTGGTTGTTGTGTATGTATGTATCGTGTCGTGGTAATATGTAATCATACTATGTGTATGTGTATGTGTGTGGTCATGCTTCGTGTATGTGTATGTGTGTATGGGATCGGGGCTGGGTATGCGCAGTGTTATGTTAGATTTATTACGGATTTATTACTAGATTTATCTAGATCTTCATATCTCTTTATATGTGTGTTTTGGTTTATGCGTGTCATGTATGGATGCTGTGTGCTATACTCGTGGAGTGTGCGTGATCAGTTGGGGAGTAGATAGTCTGGTTTTGAGGATGTGGCTATTTTGCTTCTAACTTCTTACTTTTATGTCAGAGTTAGTTCTTAACATTATCAGATGCTAAAACTAATTATTGACAAGGTTTATAAATCATCAATGCAAGCAATTACATTTTTGTAGGTCCTCTCATTTATATTTGTACTATTACTTCTACGCAACTTTTTCACTGTAAAGAAAAAAACAGAAAAAGCCTAAAATTTCAAACTCTTATAAGGTTAAAATTTTGAAACAAAATGAAAAATCTTCTTATGCTATTCCTTAATTTATCCTATTCTATTTTTTTAAACTTCCTTTTTTTATATTAGTCTTTAGTGTAACCCCCCCAACTCCCCCCCCCACCCCCCCCCTCACACCACAGTGTAAAAGGAAAAGTTTAGCATAAAAAATTAAAATTTGTATAGAATGACCAAGCAAGTATAATGAAAGCAAAGAAACTGTTAATACAATAAAAAATCAATTTGTTAAAGAAAGCTAACAAACATCTTAAAGAGTAGAGATAATTAGTTTGATTAGAGAGAGAGAGAGAGAGGAGAGATGAGAGAGAGAGATGAGAGAGAGAGAGAGAGAGAGGAGTGGAGAGAGTGAGGAGTAGAGATGAGGAGAGGAGAGAGGAGAGAGAGGAAGAGAGAGAGAGGTGAGAGAGAAGAGAAGAGAGAAAGATGGTGAGAGAAGATGTAGAGGGGAGAGGAGAGAGAAAGAAGAGATGGAGAAAAGAGAGAAAGAAGAGAGAAAGAGAGAGGAGAAAGAGAGAGGAAAGAAGAGAGGAAAGAAGAGAGAACAAGAGAGAGGAAAGAGAGGAGGAAAGATGAGCGAGAGAAAAGGAAGGAGAAAGAGAGAGAAGGAAGAGAGGAGAGATGAGAGAGAGATGGAGAGAGAGAGAGAGAAGAGAGAAGAGGAGAAGAGAGGGAGAGAGAGAGAGATAGTGAAGTGAGAGAGAGATAAAGATAGTATTTAAA